CTGCCTATTCTGACATCCCTTCATTCCAACATGCCTCTATTTTGACGTGCTGGTTTGCCGACACTTTTAGTATGACTGTTCTGACACTTCACAGAGATGAGGTGAAGTTTCTCGTCTGTTCTGTAGCGGCGCTGCAGCGTCCACACTGTAATGTGTATTCAAGCGTGACCAGCAGACACGAGCCAAGTCTGAGACATGGAATTGATTCATTCAAGTGGGACACTTGAAAAACATAATTTTTCAAGTGTCCCATTACTTCAGATTTTTTTTTCATTGTTGGAGTAGGGACACTTAACTATTTTAAAAATATTTGGGTTTTCTGACATGAGTAATATGAATGTGAGAGTGTATTATCATATATCATCAGACGCTTGGGCCTTGATCAGAGAAAACCAGAGGAGAGGAGATCAGACAGTGGGAAAATGTCCTAACTGATCGCCGTGGTCATGTATTTTAGTGTATTACATATAATATTATATTATAATATATTAGAATAAAATATATCATACTTGTTGGAATAGAAATACAAAAAATTTTTGCAAAACCGGCAGGTCTAAATAAACATCCATCATCCATTTTCTTCCGCTTTATTTGAGGCCGGGTCGTGGAGGCATCAGTCTAAGCAGGGACTCCCAGACTTCCCTTTCCACACACACGTCCTCCAGCTGTTCCAGGGGCACCCTGAGGTGTTCCGAGGCCAGTCCAGAGACTTAATCCCTCCAGTGTGTCCTGGGTCTTCCCCGGGACCTCCTCCCAGTGGGACATGTCCGGAACACCTCCCGAGGGAGACGCCCAGGAGGCATCTGGAACAGATGCCCGAGTCACCTCAACTGGCTCCTCTCGACGTGGAGGAGCAGCGGCTCTACTCCGAGCTCCTCCCGTGTGACTGAGCTCCTCACCCTATCTCTAAAGGAACACCCAGCCACCCTGCAGAGGAAACTCATTTCGGCCACTTGTATCCGCGATGTCATGTAATGTAATTGTAATGAAAGTATGTATGTATGAATACGTGGCAGACCCCAGATTCTTCCATGAAGAATTGATCCACAACTATCAACATAAGAAAGACAAAAGCTTAAAGGAAAAAACAACGACGCATTAGTGAACTTCTCCTGATAAATACATTAGTGCTGTTTGAATGTGAAACATTTGACGTGTGAACATCTGTAACATCTGAACTACACAAATCTCTCTGTCTCTTTTAATATCTGCATCATGAAATCGATTTTTAATTTGAATTCTAGAATCAGTCTGAGTTCACTAGTTCCTTCTGTTTTCTTCATGACCATAACATTAGTTTTGTTCAGTAGTTCTCTAATGCATCGGCGTTGGTTCATTTAAGTTTTGGTCTTTCTTCTCTTGATATTTGTGGATCAATTGTTCATGAAGAATGTTTCTCCTTTGTGGAGTTTTTTGGTTGAAGATTTGGTGATGGGGCAGATTTATGAAGCTGCTGGAAAATACAACACACATTTACACACAAATTTACACACACATTTACACACACATTTACACACATTTACACACATTTGCACACACAGTTTACTGTGGAAAACCATTAACCTGAAGTTCTACAACCTACAGGGCTTGTGAAAAAGCAGTATGTATCTCCTCAAGTTCAGATGGGTGTGACTGACAGGTGGATTAGCCAATCAGGGATGGGCATGGTCCGTCTGTATCAACACAAACATGTCTCCTTGTGAAGAAACAAACAAGGAAATGACATTCTTCAGAGTCAGTGAGCGGAGAGCTAAACTATATTCGTCTGAGGGGAGAGAAACTGGATTTAGTTCAAAATGACGGGGACCAATGAGCTCCTTCGTTTTACCTGCGTCACCAAAATAAACAAACCTGATTGGACGGTCGTGTTTGGTTCTTGCCCGAGCTGTGAAGGACGAAGTGTCAGACCTGTCGCGATAATTACTACATCGAAAGACGGAACTACAGATTTTGAGGCTCAGTATTATTTGAATTTATTTGTAAAAGTGTGGAAATTTGGGGTATTTTCATTGCAATGTAGTAAGACTTGAGCTTCAGAGGGTAGAATAAATCATTTCCGTGAGTAAGTATTGGCTCATTCTGTTGTTTATTTGCTGCAGATCGGGGATTTTCATGATACGGTCAATTTAAAACTGGTTGACTGGGATTGTCTTGCATCATTGTTGTTGTATCGGTGGCGTAAAGTAGTTTCAGTATTCTTGTTTATGACAGTGTTTCTTTGGAGCGATATATCACACTTCAGATTGTGTTATTGTGACAGGTTTAGGGAGTGGGGACCAGCCTGAAATCCTTCTGTGTAAAACCTGCAGAGAGAGAGATCAGCCTGGATTTGTCAGGAAACTCAAAATGGGGAATGACACACACATTAGCACACGCTCCCGCATTAGCAGAGTGGTTTACGGCTGCTGACCGGAGCGCGGCGCGTTCAGGTGACCCGCTGAATCATGGCTCTATTTCAGGTCTGTTTGGGGAGCCGACCGCCGCTCTGGTGTTTGGTGATAAACAGGATCACGGGCTCAGACTTTAAGATTGAGACATGCCTCGGGATCACGCAGGAATGTGTCAATCCCACTGAAGGGATGACTTTTCCTGATTCATAAAAAGACGACTCAAGTGTAATCAGGAAGGATTAGTCTGTGCTCCAAATGTGTATCTGCGACTTTTACACCGGAGGGAGATACTACACACCTGCACTTATGTTTTCTTTCATTCACATGTTGAGTAATCTTTTATTATTAGTCTGTCTACATCTCCAAAGCTCAACGTGCTCTGTTCCACCTTGTGATGTCATGAAGTGGTATAGTTTCATGACACAGCTCTTTTTAACAGCTCCTTTTACCTTTAGGTCAACAGAAATTGCAGGGCTGAAATGATCCAAATGATTCTAGTGAAGGTGTATGGAATTTAAAAACACAGTGAAGCACCTGTATTATCACATGACCTCATAAGGTGGAACAGAGTGTTTTCTCAATCTCAGTATAATACTATATATATAATATAAAGAATACAATATGGGCCATTGTTTTAACACAATCTGATTATAGAAAACTCTTGTTTGATTTGAAGGAGTATGGAAGATAATTTGTTCCATCAAATTTTGAATTTTAAATACGACGAATTTTTTAACTCTGAAAAAGGATGTTTGAATTATTTTTATTCAGAATTTTAGTGGCTGAAATTTGAAGTTTACTTTCAATTCAAAATAAACAAAAAATCACCACAGATATTTTCAAACCTTCAAATTCACCAGTCAAAATTCAGAATGTAAAATTCGCAGTGAAAAATTTCACAACAAAAAAAACAAGATGCCAAGGCAGAAGCAATCGATCATGTGAGCGAGGAGGACAGGAGCTGTTTCCTATTGGCTGTTCTCATCTGTGGGCGGGGTTTACTCTTAAGAAATCAAAGAGATGAGGTTTCGATGAGGCTAATTTTGACCGATCAGTTCGTGTCACTGCAACATCTCCTGTTTCTTACTAAGTTAGATCGGCTCACTTTGGATCGATTGCTTCTGCCTTGGCATCTGGATCTTTACTGTGAATTTTCTTCACTGTGAATTTTACACTCTGAATTTTGACTGTTGAACTTGAAGACATGAAAATATTTGTGCTTAATATTAAAAAGGTGATTTTTTTTTTTATATTGAATTTTATACACTGAAAATGTACACTTAAAATTTCAGCAAACAAAAATTCATAATAAAAATAATTTAAACATGTTTTTTCAGAGTAAAAAAATTTCAAAGTGAGAAATTCAACAGCGTTTAAAATTGATGAAACTAATTATTTTCCATAGAGGAGAGTCTCCTGCTTGTTCCCATGGAAATGTTGTTCCTTTTTCTATAATATTCCACAGTATGGCATAAAACTGATCTATCTCCATGGAGAATGTTCCAAAGTATGGCTTTACCTTTCTGTTTCCATGGAATCTTGCAGGTGACATGCCACCTCCACAAAGTTACTCTCACTTTAATCAAATGCTGTAAAAGGATCATTTGAAGAACACATGGGTCATAACACATATTGAGATGACACATACACACTGTGTGAGTGTGAGTGTGTGATGATGACGTGGTGATATGACTCTGGTCCAGAGTGAAACAACACGCCCCGATACACACACTAATACCTCCAGAGTATGGACCAATATGTGACAGGAGCACACTCACCACACACATGCACCGACACACTGCCCTCGCTCCACACACACATTACACACGTCACACATTACACACATTATACACATATTACACACATTATACACATCACACATTACACACAATACACACAATACACACATACACACGTCACACATTACACACATTATACACATTTTACACACATATACACACATTATACACATATTACACACATTATACACATCACACATTACACACAGTGTGTAAGGCACCAAGTGTTTGTGGGGCACCACCAAAAATCAGGCTTGTCAATCCTCAGAAAACTCTCGTCCATTCAAAGTGTGTGGAGAGAGACGAGAAGCCAGAGCCAGAGCCAACACAACCCCCCAAATCTCTCCTTCTCTGTCCCTCCCTCTTTATCTCTCTTCCTCCCTTACTTTCCCTCTCTCTCTCTCTCTCTCTCTGTCCGTCGGTGTGCAGACCTCTGCACATGCAGCAGATCGAGTCTTCACAGAGAAATGCTCATTTTCAAATTCTTATTTAAATTTGCTTGTGTAAATTTTATTGTGCAGTTGTTTGTACTTTTGTTCATTATTTACCACAGAAATGTTAGGTTATGACTTACAAAAGTTTATACTTGTTCTGTGTTTGTTCAGTTCAGTGTTCAGTCTGCTGCACACAGGTTTGTTTATAATAATGGTGGTGATATTTATTTATTAACCTTTTTTATAAATTATTATTTTAACTTTCATGGTTGGTGTATTTGTTTTGGAAATAAAGTGAATCACACTGATCAATTTTCAATTATTGTTCATTCTGGACGGGTGGGGCACCACAAAGTATTTGTGCTTAAGGCACCCAAATGACTCACAGCAGCCCTGGACCAACCTGTCCCCCAACAACCTGTCCCCCGCCAACCTGTCCCCCGCCAACCTGTCCCCCCAACAACCTGTCCCCCAACAACCTGTCCTCCAACCTGTCCTCCACAACCTGTCCCCCGCCAACCTGTCCCCGCCAACAACCTGTCCCCCCCGCCAACCTGTCCCCCGCCAACCTGTCCCCCGCCAACCTGTCCCCCACCAACCTGTCCCCCAACAACCTGTCCCCCGCCAACCTGTCCCCCGCCAACCTGTCCCCCAACAACCTGTCCCCCGCCAACCTGTCCCCCCCAACCTGTCCCCCAACAACCTGTCCCCCGCCAACCTGTCCAACCTGTGTCCCCCAACCTGTCCCCCACCAACCTGTCCCCGCCAACCTGTGTCCCCGCCAACCTGTCCCCCCGCCAACCTGTCCCCGCCAACCTGTCCCCCCCCGCCAACCTGTCCCCCACCAACCTGTCCCCCACCAACCTGTCCCCCACCACCTGTCCCCCACCATCCTGTCCCCCGCCATCCTGTCCCCGCCAACCTGTCCCCGCCAACCTGTCCCCAACAACCTGTCCCCCAACAACCTGTCCCCCACCAACCTGTCCCCCAACAACCTGTCCCCCACCAACCTGTCCCCCACCAACCTGTCCCCCAACCAACCTGTCCCCCAACAACCTGTCCCCCCAACCTGTCCCCCAACCAACCTGTCCCCCGCCAACCTGTCCCCCGCCAACCTGTCCCCCAACCTGTCCCCCAACAACCTGTCCCCCACCAACCTGTCCCCCAACAACCCTGTCCCCCACCAACCTGTCCCCCCCCAACCTGTCCCCCCAACCTGTCCCCCCACCAACCTGTCCCCCCCCACCTGTCCCCCCAACCTGTCCCCCACCATCCTGTCCCCCGCCAACCTGTCCCCCAAACCAACCTGTCCCCCAACAACCTGTCCCCCACCAACCTGTCCCCCACCACCTGTCCCCCCCACCTGTCCCCCCAACCTGTCCCCCACCAACCTGTCCCCCACCAACCTGTCCCCGCCAACCTGTCCCCCAACCTGTCCCCCACAACCTGTCCCCAACAACCTGTCCCCCAACAACCTGTCCCCCAACAACCTGTCCCCGCCAACCTGTCCCCCGCCAACCTGTCCCCCAACCAACCTGTCCCCCCAACAACCTGTCCCCCAACAACCTGTCCCCCCACCAACCTGTCCCCAACCCGCCAACCTGTCCCCCCAACCAACCTGTCCCCCCGCCAACCTGTCCCCCAACCTGCCAACCTGTCCCCCAACCAAACCTGTCCCCCAACCTGTCCCCCAACCAACCTGTCCCCCCCCGCCAACCTGTCCCCCAACAACCTGTCCCCCCGCCAACCTGTCCCCCGCCAACCTGTCCCCCACCATCCTGTCCCCCAACCAACCTGTCCCCAACCAACCTGTCCCCCCAACAACCTGTCCCCCCAACAACCTGTCCCCCCCAACCTGTCCCCCCCCCGCCAAACCTGTCCCCCGCCAACCTGTCCCCAACAACCTGTCAACCTGTCCCCCCCAACAACCTGTCCCCGCCAACCTGTCCCCAACAACCTGTTCCCCGCCAACCTGTCCCCCCAACCTGTCCCCCCAACCTGTCCCCCGCCAACCTGTCCCCCAACAACCTGTCCCCCGCTCAGCACAGACATATACACTTCATGCTCCAGTTCAGTGAACAGTTCAGTCTGGTTTAAACCTCTGCAGGGAACAGCGAGATGATTCGAAGATAATACTATTTTATTTTTTTTCATTTTTATATGTACATTAAAACTGAAAATTGTGAAATTAAATGAAATATGAAACAGTAAACCTTTCAAATCCATGTCATTTAACTTGAATTTAAATGTGTCACAGTCTTACAGTGGAATCCCAGCTGTATATTCATGCTGAGGTTTCAGTCTGAAAAAGGTGGGAGCCTCTGTGGTCCAGAGGTTTTTAGTGTCCTCAACTTCTTCAGTATAAAAAGACAGGGGCCCATACACACAAGTGTCACATGGCTTTGGTTGAGAAGTTTAGATTTCACTCTTCGAACTCAAATCATGTTCCAGTTTCTAACATTAAACTCTGAGGAGAAAAGTTTCAGAAGAATATTCACCTGTTTTGCTGACGTGGCCTGGATTCTACATGAACGACTGGGGGATTTTACTCACATGTTTTGCTTACATTAACCTTTACTGTTTGTGCAGGGAAATGTGTTATTTGACCCATCCTTCAATATATCTGGGTTAAACCTCTATTTGACCCGTTCTTCAGTGTCTCTGGGTTAAACTTGACAGGAGCAGTTGGAACATCTCCAGATCTTGAGCTGGTCTTGGCTGGAGGATTTGACCCGTTGTGGATGTTTTGGGCTGATGGAGAAAACCGGAGGAAACCCACCCACACACAGGGAGAACATGCAAACTCTACACAGAAAGGTCCAGGAGTTGAACCAGGAACCTTCTTGCTGTTATATTGACGTGTCAGTGTTGGTAATGTTCAGCTGAATGTATTTTCACACATTTGTTGAAACCAAAAGTCCCTGAGCCTCTGTGTGTGTGTGTCTCTGGAAAAGCCCTCGGAGCTGGTTCCCAACATTGTGAAATGAAAGTGCGATCGTTACAATGCTCTATTCTTCTGCACAGAGCCGCTTCCTTCCTCTGTTTTTACTCACTGTTTTATGAATGAAGTGAGCACCTGCGTGCTCCTGTGTGTGCAGGTGTGTGAGCAGCTGAAGGAAATACACAGGAGTTTATATCAGAACAATACAGAGAGTGTGAAGAGGGACAAGGTCAACGAGAGCAAACTCTCACAGACCTGATGAAGGAAAATGAGCTTCAGTTTGAGAGATTTTTTATCTTGATTGAACCTGGTCTCTCTCTGAAGACACTTTTCTTTACAGGAAATGACTATAATAAAATGTACTTGAGAAACAAAGTGCTCCAGAACAGGACTGAATCAAAACAAGACTAACCCGAGACTAAACCTGGACTACATCAGGACTAGAGTCAAGTCGTGTCACGTTACATAAAACAACCACAGTTCACCAAAGTGCTTTACACACAACAGTAAAACCGAACACACAACACACAATATACAGCAAGAAAAACAGGATTAAGATCATTTAGGTGAAAATAATAATCACTGAACCTGGAAGGAAACTTGTGCACAAGGTGTAGCAGACCTCAAGAAGGCTCTGTCTGCTCTGGCTGAGTCTGGAGCAGGGACAGAGTGTCTCTGGTTGAGTCTGGAGCAGGGACAGAGTGTCTCTGGTTGAGTCTGGAGCAGGGACAGAGTGTCTCTGAGTCTCAGAGTGTCTCTGAGTCTGGAGCAGGACAGAGTGTCTCTGGCTGAGTCTGGAGCAGGGACAGAGTGTCTCTGGTTGAGTCTGGAGCAGGGACAGAGTGTCTCTGGCTGAGTCTGGAGCAGGGACAGAGTGTCTCTGGTTGAGTCTGGAGCAGGGACAGAGTGTCTCTGGTTGAGTCTGGAGCAGGGACAGAGTGTCTCTGGTTGAGTCTGGAGCAGGGACAGAGTGTCTCCTCTGGCTGAGTCTTGATTCATTGATTGATTTTTGTGTGCTAATCCTGTGGAAGATCATTTGTTTCATCAGATTTAGAATTTGCAATGCCACTTTGAAATTTTGAACTCTGAAAAAACATGTTTGAATTATTTTTATTGTGTGCAGATTGTGTGAAATGAAATATAAAAAAACAACAAAAACACCTGTTTAAATATTCAGCACACATGTTTTCATGCACTCAAATTCAACAGTCAAAATTCAGAGTGTAAAATTTAGGTGAAAAAAATAAAATAATAAAAATTGCAGGAAAAATCCAAGATGCCAAGACCTAAGGAATCGATAAAAAGTGATCCAATCTATTTTGGTAACAAGCAGGGAATTTTTCACTGTAAATTTTACACTTTTATTTAAAAAAATATTCAAAGTGAGTAATTCAGCGGTATCCAAAATTAAAAATCCAGTGGAACAAATGATCTTCCATATGGATTACTTTGGATCAATTCCTTTTTTTTTTTTTTTTGTTACACTTTGAATTTTGACTGTTGAATTTAAGGGCATGAAAATATTTCTGCTGAATATTTAAAAAGGTGATTTAAAAAAAAAATACTGAATATGAAAAACTTTCAATGTACACTTAAAATTTCATCAAATGCCATTCATAATAAAAATAATTCAAACTTAGAAATTCAACAGCATTGCAAATTCAAAATCTGATTAAACAAATTATTGTCCAGGAAATTTTACATTCTGAATTTTGATTGTTGAATTTGTGGTCTTGAAAATACATGGGCTTGAATTTTTAAAAGGTGAAATATTCATTCTCAATTTGAAACTGTGCCAAAACCTACTACAAAACCTACACCTGGGGTCCACACGGACCCCAACATCATATTATATATTTCCCATAAGTGTGCAGGTAACAGATGTCTCCAAATTAGGTTTTTGACAAGTGTGACAACCTCAGATACTATAAATAAAGAAACAACAAAATTCATTTGGTATAACTTGCTTTAATTCAATGAAAAATGAAATAATAACCTCATGTTTTTTTCTCTTTTTTCACATTTGTGTCACTTTTGGTGCAAAATCATGTGTAAACTGAGGTTTTTTATGTTCTGTTGCATCATTGATGCTAACAAAGAAAAGACATCATAGGTGTTCCTTTTGGTATAGGGTGTACATAACCCTTTTGGTACTGGGGTCCACGTGGACCCCACAATAACAAAAAATATGTTTGAAGAATATATGGGTGTCTCATAAAAAACTAAAGGTGTGTGATCACAATAGATTGTCATATTGGCAAGAAAATCAACACGGGGCCTTCACAAATGCTTGAGGTTTAGCCATATTGTCAGTTTCTACAACAACGAAAATCATGATAAGTGATGTGAATTTATTGTCAATGCAAGTATAAGTCTTTCTTAACTTAAATGAAACAATATGCAACTCTGGTATCTGTCAGAGAAATATCAAAAACAAATAATAACCAGATGTTAGACACCTGGTTCGGCTGAAGTCCACGTGGACCCAAATGAATTTTTTGTCTACACACCACATAAATAATGGTAAAGAAATGAGCTCTTGGGTATGTGATAAGCAACAAGTTGAGTGACAACTACCTAAATGAACCAAGAAAAAGACACAACGCAATCAGAAATATGGTGACGTTTTTACACGTGGGGTAAAACCCTAACCCCAGGTGTACTGATGAGGGTTAAATATCTGTTTTTTTCAGAGTTAAAAATTCAAAGTGAGAAATTCTGTGGTATTTAAAATTCAAAATCTAATGGATCTTCTGTATAATCCACAGATTTAAGGCAGTGTTCCACCAGTAAAATGACAGAACTGACTCCTCTGAAGAACTGAAACTGCACGTCGCTCTTTTAAATTAAAAGTTTCAGATGATTATTTGAAGGGAAATGAAGCTGACGTGCTGCGACCTGCTCTCTTGGTTAAATCCATTACCATATTAGCTTGTTTGTCTTTTCACTTTGACAGAATGACTGAGAGGAAACCGTGATGAAACCACAGATCTGGCTTTGCTAACAGTGTCTGGGCACAGCAGGGCGCGGCCGGGATTTGAACCCACAACCTCCTCCACGCGTGTTTACATTCCAGCGTATAGAGCACAGACAGTGACTCACCACTCTCCTCAGACACCGACGTTTTAACAACAAACAAAAAAACAACCAAACTTTTACCTGCGCCGTACCGAAGCACGCTACACCTCAAATACTGCGTACGGCGCTCGACAAGTACTTTCAGGATTTGGTATTTCAACAACTGTTTGAATTTGTTCATCAGATACACGGAAACAATCGAGTACAGCTCCTTTAAACTGACTCAGGTTAATGACGCATAAACTTAAACTGAAATGAGCCGAAGAATATTGCAGAAGATAAGATCTATGAAACTCTGGACCACCTCATGACATCAGCAGGTGGAACAGATTCTTATAGTCAGTGTGCAATGCAAGATCCTAATTCAGTCCTGGTTTAGTCCTGGTTTAAGTTAGACATGGGTCAGTCCTGGTTTAGTTCTGAGTTAGACTCAGTTTAGGCTTATTTAGACCTGATTTAGTCCTGGGTTAGTACAGGGTTAGGTCAGATTTAGACCTAAATTAGACCTGGTTTCTATCTGGTTTTGACTTGGTTTTGTCCTGGGTCCAATCTGGTTTAGTCCTGAGTTAGACCTGGTTTAGAAACATTGCAGAGGACAAGATCTATGAACCTCTGGACCACCTCACGACATCAGCAGGTGGAACAGATTCTTATATTCAATGTGCAATGCAAGATCCTAATTTAGTCCTGGTTTTAATCCTGGTTTAGAACTGCTTTTGTCCCACTTTAATCCAAAATTAGATCTGGTTCAGTCCTGATCTAGCACTAGTTTTAGTCCTGATCTGGTACTAGTTTTAGTCCCGGTTAGGCCTGGTTTAGTCCTGGGTTAGTACAAGGATCGACATGATTTAGTCCTGAGTTAGACCTGGTTTCTGTAGGGTTTAGTCCTGGGTCAGACCTCATGTACATGCACAGGTACAGGTACATGTATGGATACAGTACAGGTACAAGCACAGGCACAAGTACATAGGTACAGGCACAGGTACAGATACAGGTACACAGGTACAGTCACAAGTACATGTACAGGTACCGTCACATGGGGGCGGCAGTAGCTCAGTT